GAAGGATTACTAAGAGAAATTTAAAAATAGAAAAATGGAAGAAGAAGCTCTCTGAGTATGCAACCGAGATTTTGGAGGAGGAGAAAGAAGATGCTATGCGATGTGAGATCACAAAAGGAACACATGGGCGGTTTGACGTGTATTTAGATGGGAACTCACATTCTGTCAACTTGTCAACTGGTAAATGGCAATGCTCATGTTGCAAGTGGCAAATCACAGGAATTCCATGTGAACATGCTTATGCAGCAGTTTTAGATGTTAACAAGGATATTGATGATTTTGTATCCCCATACTTTACAACTCTAGTATGGAAGGAAGTGTATGATAAAGGTCCTGATCCGGTTAGAGGTCCACGTTTTTGGATGACCAACAGATATGTCTTGATAACCAAACCTCCAGATCCAAATCTACCCGGGAGGAAGAAGGGCCAGAAGAAGAACTATGACCGGATTAAAGGGAAAAATGAATCACCCAAGAAAAAGAAGAAGGAATCAAAGAAGAAGAAGCCAAAGAAAAATATGGGAAATGACATAACTCAGCCAGACAAACTAGGAAAACAAGGGAGAACCATGCATTGTCGTAAGTGTCATGAAGCAGGTCACAACTCAGCTGGATGTCCAACATTTCCAAAAGAAAAGAAGGAAAACAAAGAAAACAGGTCCAAGAAGAGTAAGAATAGCACAAAATTTGTTGAGGCTGGTCCATCTACTACTGTACAAGCAGCAGAGACACTCACACTCTCAAATGGACCAAACACTCTCACACAAGAAAGCAATATCTTCACACAAGAAATCAATATATAGGAGTTGTGTGCAGTTTCACTTCTTTTTTTTTAATAGTTGCAGGTTTTTTGTTTGAATAAGGAGTAATGTTGCAGGTTTTTGTTTGGGTTTAGTACTGGTTGTTTTGCTGATTTTTTTCATGTTCTAGGCATGTGTTGCGAATTTATGTTTAGTTCTCAATTTGGATTGATGTTTATGACCAATTGGATGTTCAATGTTACTTGATTTGGATGGCATCATTTAAGTCCAACTTCTGATTGATTTTATTTTACTAGTTGACAAACCAGTTTGTGAAACGAAACAAGTTTCATAAAAAAAACCACGATACATTGAGGATCATAACATTACGCAACAACACTAGTTGTGTACAAGTGAACTCACAATATAATAATTATTTTGTTTTGTTTATGAGTCTATGCCTATCTAATATTAATTTCTAGAAATTTTAATGTATACACATTTGCAGGTTTGTAAACAAGTAAACACATTTTCAGGTTTGTATACGAATTTTATTGTATACACATTTGCAGGTTTATGAGTCTATGCCTATCTAATATGCTCATACTTGGTCTGTATTTGATCAAAGCTTGTGTTTTTGTTGTTTTGCAGGTTTGTAAACAAGTAAAGAAACAAGACACGAGAGTTACGATTTCCCAAGTCTTAGACCAGCCAAGGTACGTCTCGGTGAGCTTGACCGCTCACTAGAGGCTTCACTATGAACAAAGAACATATTACAACTTCAGAATCACTCACCCACACAAAGAGATCACCTTAAGAGAAGAAAATAAGATAATGAAGAACTCTCCCCAAAACCCAGAACTTTCTCTCTTACTCTCTCTACACTCAAAAGTGACTTGCACTTTGTCTTAATCTCTGAATCGAACACAGCTTTTAAATAAACCTCTTTGTCCCTCTCTGTAAAATCCCAAGATTGCTTTGTACACTCTTGAGCAGCAAGACAAGCTTTGTCGCTACTTGATCACGGCAAAAATGTAGAGAGAGAACCTGTGTTATATTGAGATAATTGATGTATCAAGAAACCTAAATCCCCACGTTGCCTCTCTTTTTCTCCCAAAGCTACGTGGTTATCGTCTCGAGACATATATTGGAGTGAAACGCGATGTTAGTAATCGCGATTAATGGTTTAATCGGGTTTAGTAATTGTGATTATCTGTCTCAATTGGATAGGCACTGTTTTAGATGGTTTTAAAAGTATAGGTTGATTTATGCAGAAGAAATAAAGTTTGTGTTGTTTTATAAAGAGGTAAAAAGTACAGGTTGAAATGTTGAGAAGGGAATAAGTACAGGTTGTAATAACGTGGCAACCCGAAAAGTAAACTACCCATCGTCGTCTATCGTTGAGAAATATTCGGTGTTAAGGTTCGAATCGGGTTGAAAACCGAAACCGATCGGGTTTTGTAGGTATGAGGATCGGTTGTAACTTGACCCAAACCGAATTATGTATGAAACCCGAATAGAACCGGAATTAATCGAAACAAAAAAGACATACTGAAAGGGGGCCCAATAACAACAAATTAAACAACACTGAAATTTGCTCCTCGTCTCCTTCACCGCCATCAGCTAAGTATATATATAAACTCTGAGAGGATTTGGGGTATTTGTTCATCATCAGTGGAGTTTACCATACTTTTCGTCGATTCATGCAATTGGAGTGTGAAAAACCATACAGTGTTTAAACTTAGACGAAGAACTGGATTTTAGTATCTCCCGTAATGGGGGATAGCGTTACTCTCTCGCGCAGGTTCAAGTATCTTCTAGGTTCGTCTTCGTTTTTGTTTTTCCCCAAATCTCTCTCTCTCTCTCTCTCTCTCTCTCTCTCTGTATTTTGTTTCTAATTGAGTTTTTTTCCTTTCTTCTTTGTTCGAGTTGGGGAATTAGGTACGCAGTTTCTTTGCAGAAGCATCTCGTTCACAGTCAATTCCTGGATCGTGAACCATCTAACGGCACAAGACTATGCGGTAATATGAGAGAGCCCACTTTTAATTTTAGGTCGAATATATCTATGTATATGTGTTGTTAGATTTTGCCAATGTAGGTGCTTTGACTATTTAGCTTGATGGAATGGATATATTGGGTTGTTGCTGCTGTATTTGTTGAATGCGTTTCTCATTGTAAAATATTGGTTTGTTTCCTATTGCCAAGTAGCAAAACTCTTATGCAGTTAGGTTCCCCGTATCATTATAATAAGATGTGATTTTAATTATCTAAGTGAGTGGACTTTTAGGCCTTTGCTCTGCTTGATTTTACTCAACTTTAATTTGATTAGCTACGTGAATTCTTCCACAAATTCAATGTGTTTTTGCTTATTATGAACTCCATCTATCTTTTTCACTGCAATGAAGCTCTACGCGGTCCAGTTCCATCTTTTTGTTACCTGTGTCTTGTTTCTCAGCCGGGAGGGATTTCGCCGTGCTTGCTTCCGGGCTGACATTAACAGGTATCCGCCCACGCTTATTCACTTCACATCATCAGTTCATGATTAAACTTTCGGCCCGTGATATTTCATTGATTTTGTGCTGCAGTGGTGATGAGACTAGGTTATTGAAAGTGGCGTGGGTGACATTTCCACTCGGAACTGCCATTACTATTGCAGCATGCGTCTTTGTGTTATGGTGGCAGAACCTTAGTTCCTCCGACACTTATGCGCAGGCTATCTTGATTCACGGTACATTGTTGTCGTTTCCTAGTCCTTTCTCATACTTCTTTTCCTTAAAGCCTTGGAATCTGAAAGTTTCTGTTTTGTGGTCGTTTACTTATGTGTCTCTAACAATTATAGCTAGATCCAATTGTTCTCTTCTAAAGCTACTACTTTCTTTCTTTTTCTTGCAAAAGTTCTCCTCTTGTCTTTTTCTGATAAGCTTTCTCTTAATAGTCCAAATTTAGATTCTACGAGTATATAGCAGGAGGATAAATCTATTCTTTCTTCTCAACTTATGGACTAACCTACTTAATTGGCAGGATTTGCATGTGTACTGGAGCTAATGGCTGAGCCTTTGTATATCCTCTCGCAGACATTGACGCATCTACAATTGCGGCTTATTGTTGAGACTTTTGCTACAGTTTCACGTTGTGTAGTTTTGTACTCTCTCATAGTCATGCAAACCAACATGGTACATATCTGTGTCAATAAGTTATTAGTTCGTAGTGCTTATACCATTCCATTTCGTCCCTAGCAAAAGAAGCATGCTTAAAGAAACTTATATGATAGAACTAAAATATAATTATCTTCAACATATGTAGGAAAAAGGGATAATCTTTGCACTGTCCCAAGTTGCATATGGAGGTTCCTTATGTCTTGGGTACTGGGCTTATTTTCTCTTTTGTGGTGTTTTCAAAAGTTCGGATCTCTTTCCTTTCAGGTATGAGCTCTCTATCTCCTTACCCGCATTCTTAACCCTTGTTGTATTCCAGTCAACTCATTCATTTCCAGTAATAATGCTAAACAAAATTTGTGATGTCTCAGACCCGGGACCGCCATGGATTTCGATGAGGAGCTCTCGAACATGTGTATGCTATTTACTTTTCAGTCCTTCCGAAAGTTGATTCTCCAAGAAGGTGAAAAGTTGGTCCTCGTATGGTTAGATACATCTTATAATCAGGCTGTCTATGGGATCGTCGACAAACTAGGCAAGCCTTTTTGGTGAAAAATGTGAAATTTCAACAGCGACTAAGTATACTGTAATATATATTATACATCACAAATTCTCTAAAATTCCAGGAAGCTTAGTTGTACGCATGGTGTTTCTTCCCTTTGAAGAAAGTACATACACTACATTTGCCAGAATCGCATCAGGTTTATTTCTCTCCTGTGTTTAGTGTGGTTCAGTATCTAATTAATCTTAGTTCAAATGTTTCACGATATTGGTTGACTCCCTGAGTTTCTTACATGGTTTCTGTTTCTCTCTATCCCTCTTGACAGATGATGATTACCAGCATAAGAGCAAGAAACTTGGAGTTTGTCTGACTGAGGCCTTAAAGTTTGTAATTTTAATAGGTAAATTCCTATCTATTGAAGTAAAAACCTCTATTCATAATGTGTTTTATCAGTCCCTTAAACCAAGCGTCAGCTTTTCAACTGGATTCCAGATCCTTATTTGTTTTTGCTCCTCAATTTATATAAGACTTTTGACTCTAATCTTCGGTAACATCCTGGAAATTTCTAGGTCTTACATTTATGGCATTTGGCCCGAGTTATTCGTACTCTTTTATCAGATTGTTATATGGTGAAAAATGGAGCGATGGAGAAGCTTCCTTGGCACTACAGTTTTATTGTCTCTACATCATCGTCCTGGCCATGAACGGTTAGTAATCATATGTTGATTTTCCTAATGCTTATTGACTTGTTGTCTGCTAAAAGTCAATCTTCTTGATTTTGCGTCAGTCTTGTTCTTCTTTAACTATTTTCTTCAGGAACCTCCGAAGCATTTTTACAAGCAGTTGGAGGGAAGAATCAACTAAAGCACTTAAACAACATGTTGCTTGTATTTTCATTGATCTACATCATATTAAATATTTTGCTGATAGGATCTTTAGGAGCAATAGGTTTAATCTTGGCAAATTCCTTGAGTATCCTTCACCCACATCTCTATATAACACTATTAGAATCAGCTATTGTTCACGTCTTGTTGTCTTCTTAACCCTTCTTAAAAAAGATATGATTCTAAGGATCACCTGTTCAGGGCGATTCATCCAACATTACTTCCAGGTATTCTTGAGTAATCTTCCCTATATAATGACCGTCTTTTTTGTTTGTTTGTATATTAACATTCAATTATCTCTGCAGGGGACTTCTTCATTCTCGTTCCGAAAATGCTTACCTTTAGGCTGGCAGGTTCTTATCTTTTCAGGCATAGTCACTCTCATCTCAGAGAAAATCTTTCTTAACCATAAGAATTTCCGGGCAACATTTCCTCTCCATTTGGCCATAGGTGTCCTATGCATCTGTCTCTCAGCCATTGTCATGTAAGTCTCTCCCTCCAATGGCAACCAAAAACCTCCATTTCAGACTTTTACAGTCTTATTTTCGTTCTACTATACTGAAAAATGTGCATCAAGTTGATTATGTGGTTTCTGCATACTCTCTGAAGTATTGTCTTTGTCTCTGGTAGATACCGGCGTGAGAGACTATTCATCGATAAAATCATACGTTTCAGGGATCAAGATCACGATCACAGAGACTGAATAAACCATTAAACCCGTTGTGTGTCCCGTTTTTCTTTCTTATAGGAAGAGAGAGTCTGGAACTTTTGTACAGATAACCAATCACAAGTTTTGCCTTGTATAAAATCAATCAAATATCACATTACTTATTTACGAGATTTTATGTCTATCTTTTTTTCTTTTTCTCTTTTTTTTTTTGTCGGAAACGAGAGTCTAAACTTGTGATTTTTGGAACAAGTAGCTTGTGTTAAATTCTTAGTGTTCGAACCAAAAAATATTTCCCGTTATTAAGATCCCGCCGGCGCCAGTAGTTAGCTTTAACCCCGGATGAGCAAAGAATCAAAACAACAAAGTAAATTCAATTTGACGCGGCATAACACGTGTGTGAATCGCATGATCTTAAAATTACAATCACACCCCTCAACGCGTAGAGAGCCTATTCGTTCTTTATCTAATGGTCTGATTCCTTTATTTATCCAATTTCCCAAATTTCTCAAACAAAATTTTCATTTCTTACTCTCTTTCGTCGATCGCTCCGAAACTGTAAGCTTCTTCTCTTCTCAGCTCTCACCATGTCTGGTTATCCTCCATCGAGCCAAGGTTACGGTTACGGCGGTAACCCACCACCGCCTCAGCCACCGTACGGATCATCCGGCAACAATCCTCCACCGTACGGATCATCAACATCCTCGCCGTACGCTGTTCCGTACGGAGCTCAGCCCGCGCCTTACGGTGCACCACCTTCAGCACCGTACGCTTCTCCTCCAGGAGACCATAACAAGCCTTACAAAGAGAAACCTCACGGCGCTGCTTACGGATCTCCATCTCCAGGTGGTTACGGTGCTCATCCATCGTCTGGACCTTCCGATTACGGTGGTTACGGAGGAGCGCAGCATTCAGGACATGGTGGAGGTTACGGGGCTCCCCCTCCTCCTTCTTATGGAAGTCCGTTTGCGTCTCTGGTACCGTCGGCGTTTCCTCCCGGGACGGATCCGAGCATCGTTGCTTGTTTCCAGGCTGCAGATCGGGACAATAGTGGATTCATCGATGATAAGGAGCTTCAGGGAGCTCTCTCTTCGTATCATCAGAGCTTCAGCATAAGAACTGTTCACCTCCTTATGTATCTTTTCACCAACAGCAACGTCAGGAAGATCGGTGAGTTTCTTGATTCTTTTAAACTGATCCTAAATTCGCTCAATTGATTGTTCTTGGTCTTTCCTTTTTTGGTGTATCATAGTGAAATTGCGCTTTATAGAAGTAGAAAGCCTCCATTGTCTTGGTTTCACCATCTAGGTTTGAGTTTTTAGCAATCTAACTTGTTGAGTTTTCCTCTGCAAATTGCTTGGTTTGACTTTGATCGTTAGTTATACCAAATCCTCAAATTATATTATAAACTAATTCAAGTTGAAACCATCTTTTGATTAGTCTTCCTGCAGGCCTGGTTTTAAAAAAAAATATATGCTAATATAAGAATTCCACATTGCAGGACCAAAAGAGTTTACTTCACTTTTCTACAGTCTTCAGAATTGGAGGGTAAGTTCAAAGGTTTTTTTATTTTAGCTAATGATTTGATGAGATTGTTGGTCAAGGATGTTGGAGTTCAAACTCAAGTGGTTTTTTTTGTTTGGTGTTGGTTTCAGTCCATCTTTGAGAGGTTTGACAAGGACAGAAGTGGTAGAATAGATACAAACGAGCTGAGGGATGCACTCTTGAGCCTTGGGTTTTCAGTGTCTCCTGTGATTTTGGATCTGCTGGTTTCCAAGTTTGACAAAAGCGGAGGCAGGAACAGGGCTATCGAATATGACAACTTCATCGAGTATGTTCATTTGTTTCTCGACCCCTTCAAGTTTCTTTTGTCCTCCCTGTAAGTAGTAAAATTCCATACTGATTCTGGTTTTTCCATTTGTGCAGGTGCTGTTTAACTGTAAAGGTATGCTATTCTCATAGCTAGGGTCACATATATTCTTAGACACTTGGAAACCAAGGTCATTTACAATAATCTAGAATTGTGTGTTTGATGAAATGATTGCAGGGACTGACTGAGAAGTTCAAGGAGAAAGATACGGCTCTATCAGGGTCAGCTACTTTTAATTACGAGACGTTCATGCTCACTGTTCTACCATTCCTCGTCGCTTGAGTGTATGTGTGTGTGATAGCCTAAAAACTCTGTCGTTGTCATATCAGCTTTTGGATTTTTTTAGTTGAACTCCCAAGATTTTCTTTTACCTTTCTCTCGACTTTGCCTCTGTAAGATTTGGACGTAGCTCTCCATATGAGCAAAACCCTTTATTAAAAACAAGTCTAGTCGGATAATAATAATAACGTACCTTGTTAAACCGAGTTCTCTTTTTGCTTTCGACATTTGGCAAGGTTTTAACCAGGTTGGGAGATTATCAATAGAAGAAGAAAAACCAAGGCTAACCAGATAGTTAACCAAATCAAAAGCAAAAAGAAAAAACGTTACATTTCTGGAAAAAGTAGCTTTAATGACGTTTAATAAGAAATAAATCCCTACATATCTCTACAACTGATTGGTGAACCACTAAAAGAACCCTTAATACTTTTTGTCACTATACTGAATTTTTTTTAACAAATGTAGAAAATTTTAGGAAAGTGGTATGAACTATGAAAATCGTGATGATTATAAGTTAAAAGATGATATTTATTTCCCAAAATTAGCATAACTAAACTTTTGAATCCAATGTAATTAAAAAATTACTAAAACTGCTTTGCTTTACCATATTCGAGAAATCAGAAGCCGTTGACACACATGCGAATCGGACGGATGAGAATAGCCCACTAGATATTTGAATTCAAACACAGTTAAAGAGTTAACGTTACAATTCAATATTTTCCGCTCAGGTTTGGGTCCGAACCTAAATACCCGAACCAGTAAACAACCACAGAAAACGAGTGAAACAAAAAGCTTGGAGCATTTATAAAGAAAAACAGTCGTAAGCGATTCAAAGAAACACAAGGAAGAAGACGAGACTCTCTTCAGATTCTTTTCCTAGGGTTTGATCTGTTTGCCCAGAACGAAAGACACAGAGTCAGTAATTGGTAACTAGGATCTCTTGGATTTTGTTTCCTTGCCTGATTCTGATGTGCATTGATTTTGATCGATTAATCACATTTTCCCCTTTTCTCAATCTTCAGGAAGATTCGTACTGTAATGACAAGTGGGTTGCACGAATTTAATCTGGCTTCAAGAAGAGCCGAAGAAGCAGGTTTGTTAACCAAATTTCTCTGTTTGATTCGAAAACAAGATCCGAAACGTTATCTGATTTGTGTATTTTTTTGCAGCGGCGAGGAGATTTCAAGCCGTGCAATGGCTTCAATCTGTAGTGGGTCAACTAGGTATCCCGAGTCAGCCATCGGAGAAGGAGTTCATTTCTTGCTTGAGAAATGGTATGATACTTTGCAATGCCATCAACAAGATCCACCCAGGAGCCATTTCTAAGGTACTCCTTTGTTTTTTTTTTTTTATACCTCAATCAATTGGGTTGGTTGGTTCGAGTTCCTCAGATTCCATTTTGAGACTGCATTTGAGTTTTAACATTAAATTCCACTTAAGGTTGTGGAGAACTACTCGTATTTGAACGGAGAGTATCAACTTCCTCCTGCTTATCAATATTTCGAGAACGTTCGCAATTTTCTTGTGGCTTTAGAACAGTTGAGGCTTCCTAGATTTGAAGCTTCTGATCTCGAAAAGGTAACACATTGGAGAAGTATTTTCTTTATTATAATGGTTTTGGTTCTGTTGTAAGCTCTGAAGAACTGAATTATATGAGGTGTAATGTAATGTCACAGGATAATCTAGAGTCTGGATCAGTGACCAAGGTTGTGGATTGCATTTTGGGACTTAAGGCATACCATGAGTGCAAGATAACGAGCAATGGTAATGGGTTATACAAGCACGTCAAAACCCCGACGTTTCAGCTTTCCGCCACTAAGATTCAGCAGCCTCCAAGTGCCTCCAAAACGTCTAGGCATTTGGACATGTCTTCGGTCCGTGAGAGAAACGATTGCAGGGATGGTGGTGAATCTGATCAACTCAAAGGTTTGATCCATTTCCTTATGTTATTGATACTTGTGTTAAATGTAGTTTGTTTTAACAGCCATCTTACTGCATTTGGATTGGATATTTGTAGAGATAGCCAAGTCGTTTGCCGATCACATTTTCCATTCCAAGGAAAATATTGATGAGAATCTTATTTCACTAGTGAATGGCACTGGGGTAAGTTCTGCACCATTTCTTCAGTTACTGTAACAGTCAGATCCACTTGGTTAAATTGACTTAATTCTTTGAATTGCAGAATTCTAGAGAAAAGTTCGAGAAAATCATCTCAAGATTCCCAGAGGTAGATTAGAACATAGTAATGATCTGTTCTTATTAGGAAAGTATTATACTTCAATAATGCTTTGATAGGTTAATTTGACACTGATGATGTCTGTTATGTACAGCTTCAGTCAGGATTCAAGAGTTTACTTAGCCTGAAACCATCAGAATCAAAATCCATGCCTCTGGGGGAGTTACCTGTCCATGAAGAAGACCAAGTATGCTTTTTTGCTTTTGCTCTTTACATGTGACACGAAACTCTTACCTTGGAACTGCATTTTTATGCTGGCACCTGAACAAAACATCTTCTGTACATCATCCCTTTCCATGTCTTTTTTTCCTTCCAAATTTGATTAATGTTCTTGTTATGCATCCATTACTATCTTTTTCTTCAATTCTTACCTTTCTAATTTGCGCTGCTCTTTCTTAGACACTTCTCTTTACTCCATAACTGTTTAAAAGAGTTTCATATCTTATTAGTTTACACTAATAGTTTGTTGGTTTAGTTTGCTCAGTCCAGCAGAAGTCTCCTACAGAAGACAAATTGCAACCATAAGCATTTACTGAAAACACAAGAAAAAGAGCTTGCGGTATGTTTTCATTTGATCTGTCTTAATGAAATTCTACTACTCGTTTGGATATAATACTTATGGCATGCCTCTCTTTCTGTCAACACCTTTTGGCAAGCTATCTTTACTTTAGTTTCTTAATTTTCTGGCATATTCTTTCTTATACAAGATGTTATTTGTATTTTCCAAATTGATCAAGAATCCTGTACTATACTTTGTGTCCTAATCCAGGTATGCTTCTCTTGTTTAGGTTCTCAAGACCTTGTTTGTAAAAACGAAGCAGGATTTTAAGGAACTTCAGGTTCATTTGCAAAGAGATTTGGTGGAACTAGGTTAGTTTGTTTCTCATTTCTATCACCTACGGAGCAAACTGTCAACATTTCACTTTTTAAGTACAACCTCATTTTCTAATTTCAAATTCAATTTACTGTCTTGCACAGGGAATCAGATGCAAGAGATGTCATCAGCAGCTCAAGGATATTACAAAGTGGTGGAAGAGAACCGAAAACTATATAACATGGTGCAAGATCTTAAAGGTATAAAAATATTTAACACAGGTTTTGCTCTTCTAATGGAAGTCGTAATGCCATGTCTTGAATCCGCAGGAAATATACGAGTGTACTGCAGAGTAAGACCAATCTTCAATAGTGAAATGAACGGAGTAATAGATTACAGAGGAAAAGATGGATCTTTAATTGTTTTAGATCCATCGAAGCCTTATAAAGATGCAAGAAAAACGTTTCAATTTAATCAAGTATTTGGTCCAACAGCAACTCAAGGTAATTTTGCAATGTCTCGGAGGCTGTATAAGCTTGTGTTAAGTCTCACACTTCTTTGTTTAGTAAGATATCTTTCAAACTTATAAACCCATGTGTACAGATGATGTATTCAGAGAAACAAAACCACTAATCAGATCAGTGATGGATGGCTACAATGTCTGTATTTTCGCTTATGGCCAAACGGGATCAGGGAAGACATACACGATGGTGAGAATTATTCTACTGACTAGAGCATCTTCTTGCCTTTCTACATATTTAGATACTTATCATTGCGTTCTTTTTTATGCAGAGTGGTCCTCCAGGCAGATCAGCTACTGAAATGGGAATAAATTATCTAGCTCTCAGTGATCTCTTTCTGATATGTGATAAAAGAAAGGACATGATGATGTATGAGATATACGTCCAAATGGTCGAAATCTACAATGAGCAAGTCCGAGACCTTCTTGCGGAAAATTCCTCCTGCACTAGATATCCTTTCATGGCTGCTGAAACCTGAATTTAAATAACTTCCTGCTTTATGTATTTCACATGAATTCACCTACTGTTCTTCTTGACTATATTGTGCACATTAGATATTCGAACTTGTTCTAGTGAGGATGATGGCTTGAGTCTTCCAGATGCTACAATGCATTCTGTAAATTCTACCAAGGATGTCCTTCAGCTGATGGAGGCTGGTGAAGTGAATCGTGCAGTTAGTTCCACGACCATGAACAATCGAAGTAGTCGGTCTCACAGGTACATAACTAAAAACTACACTTTCAAAATTATGGAATTACAGCTTTGTGATCTAAATTATTTTCGTTCTTGTAGTATTTTTATGGTGCATGTTCGTGGGAAAGACACATCTGGGGGAACCCTCCGAAGTTGCTTGCATCTTGTGGATCTCGCAGGGAGCGAACGAGTAGATAAATCAGAGGTAACTGGAGACAGACTCAAGGAAGCACAGTATATCAACAAATCTCTTTCTTGTCTCGGGGATGTAATCTCTGCATTAGCTCAGAAGAATTCTCACATCCCATACCGAAACAGCAAACTTACTCTTCTACTTCAAGACTCATTAGGTAATAATATCTTAGCCGAGACCCCTTCCTTTTGCTGGTTTATGAACAAAATATATTCACTTGATTTCTGTCATAACTTCATTTCAGGAGGACAAGCCAAAACATTAATGTTTGCTCACTTGAGTCCTGAGGAAGACTCCTTTGGGGAAACAATCAGTACTTTGAAATTCGCACAAAGAGTTTCAACAGTCGAACTTGGAACTGCTCGTGCACACAAAGAGACTAGAGAGGTTATGCATCTCAAGGAGCAGGTTAGTAGAGATTCAGTCTTGCTTAGAAGCTAAACAGTAACCAAATTTGTTGCTAGTTTATTTTACATCTAGTGAGCCAACAAACGTTAATTCTTCTTTCAGCTTGAAAACCTGAAGAAGGCTTTGGGTACCCAAGAATGGAATAATGTTTCCAACAGTGGAGCAAAGGAGATAAAATCTCCTTTCAGCAGGCCGATTGCAACAACAGAGAGAACTCCTCCACGTCTCAGAAGATTAAGCATCGAAAACTGTAGCAACACCAAGGCAAACCTTGAAGACAGGAAAGGTGTTAAATCACCTTTAGCATCCCGTCGTTCTCAAATATTGAATTTGGAGGGTCCAAAATCCTGTAAAAACGAAGAAAACAGTAAAGGAGAACCCACCACGGAAGTGCACCAGCTCAAGAATCCACGGAGTCCTGTAAGCTCTTATCAAAACCGAGCAGTGAAAGTAGATGGCAGAACAAGCATTCCTCAACTCCAGCTAATGCAGACACCTGTTAAAGGAGCTTCCAGAAACGAGATACAGATCATTACAGTGGATTCTAGAACAAATGGAAAAGGTTCACAAATACGGAAATCCCTGAGGACAATCGGAAAGCTGATCAATGGTTCAGAGAAGAGGTATGAAAAAGACTATGGCTATTCTAATCTGCTTGATAATACTTGACATTTTTACCTGTTTACTGAAAAACCTTTATGTCACTACAGAAAAGAGAACACTGCGGATCCACGGTCACCACTTGGAGTTGCAAATAATTTCAGTCATATAAAGTCCCCGGACACAAGCAACGCTAAGGCTATGCGACGGCAGTCACTCACGGGTGTAATGCCACCACTCACGGGTGTAATGCCACCAGGACAAGAAAGATCACGTAGGTCCTCAATAGGAGGAAACCCAATTGAGAATGGTAAGAAAGGTCTTGCCATAAGTTCATCTTTCTCTTTACGCCTTTTTATCTGAACAAAATAATAACTAAGGTTTTGATTTTGTAGGTGTAACGGGTACAAGAAATGCCAAGACACCTCCACCTATGCGTTCAGCATCAAAGATAGGGAAGAAGTGGGCATAAAAAGCTATTGAAGAATGACATGTTCTCTTGCTTTGGCTCGAAGCATAGTACTCGTTGAAAGTCTTTTTAGCATCTACATTCAGTTTCCATCAATATGATGAAAATTTTATTTCTTCTTCCTGAGTAAATAAGACTCAACTTTAGAGGGCTCTGACTGTAACATAGATGGCTCTTGTTCTTAACAGTTTTGTTGCTAGTGTCTCTGAATCATTGAGTTCATTTAGTTTCATTTATATCTTTACAAAGAACTCTGCAATTTCTGTAGTTTGTGCAGACTATACAGCAACAACAACAAAAATTAAAACCCATTTCAGGTCAGCTAATCGATTTTGCATACACATCAACCAAAACCTTCTTGAATCTATGGAGATCTAACCTCACTTTCTGGTCGTTCAGGTATATCCCCTTCGTGAATTGCCATCCTTTGCGAGTGATGCTGTTTGGGTCTCTTAGAATTCGATCATTTTTATCATATTTTTCATACAATGAGCTCTCTCTTGCAAGAATCTTATAACCAATGTAGTCTAGACCGAGCTTCTTAGCCGGTTCTCCATAATATGTTTCTGATGCCCAATCTGTTCCCAGTGGAATGATTTGAATAAAGACACCTCCAGGTTTCATGAATAGAAAATGCGTCATGGCTGCTCCATGTACCCCAACCATGACATTGCTTGAGTTAACCACTCTGTAAATCTTTGCCAATTCCGTTGTTCTGTCAGGTCTCAGAACCTCGACTTCAAACCCGATCCTCTGAGCCATTTTCACCATCAGAGCCTCGTTTGTTATACCACGAGACCCGGTTCTTGAAAACAATGCTAGTTTTGGCCTCTGAGCCTTTCTTCTCTTTGCTACTCTCGCGTGGAACCGTTGCTCCTCTTGCCTGTCCAATCTGTTGATTCGAGGTCTATAGGCTCGATCAAGTACATTTCTGAACTCATTGATGGTTGTGTTGCCATCTTGCATCTGAGAAGGATCGACGGTTAAGTCACCATGGATTCTGAGGCCAACAATGGCTTCCTTGAAGCAGTGAGCTCTCTTGTCTTTGTTGAAATCAATAAGAGGATAATCAGAGAGCTGAGAGAGAACATCTCCATACTTCATCTCCCACCACCTGTGATAGTCAGCAATCACAAAGACAACCTTTTTGTTGAAACGTTTAGATGTTATATACAATGGGATAAGCCCGTCGTTGAACTCATGATAGAGGTTTCCGGTATAACCTCCGGTAGAGAATATCACTGCTGGTACTTCATGGATTACTTGGCATTTATGCTTGTCACCAGAAAGCTTAGCATCTTTTTCCATAAGTTTCAGCTCACCAATGGTGTCCATTATACTAGTTTCCCACTTTCTGGTGTACGGTTTGATGGTTTCTTGCAAGACGTGATCGGTGAGATCATTAGAGGTGTAGAGAAAGATGGAGGAAGGAGAGTGTGTTCTGATATCGCCTTTCATGAAACAGATGTCTGTACGATACCCGGTTCTGTCACAAGATATGCTCTCGTCTGCATAATTAACCACAGCTGAAATACTGAGAATCTGTTGCTTGATGTTTCAAGAACTGTAAGAAACAGAGGACTAAGTACTAACCATTTTGCGAGGTCTTAGGTGATTCTATATTGCTTTCGGAAACCCGATTATCAATCTCTTTAATTGAAGAATCTGCAGAAACATATGTAGTGAAAATAGTTTAGGACAATAACAAACAAAAAAGAAGAAGATAGAATTGATATACTTGTAGTACAAGATAAAAGAACCGTACCGATAAGAAACAGAGCAGAGGGGTAAGGGAAATAAAGGAGCTGAGGGGCAAAGACGAAGCAACTTGAGATAAGAGAGAAGATAAGAAGATAGATAAGCTTAGGCTTTGATCTCTTTGCGCAATTCCCACAAGAACTTTTCCACCCCAAGACATAAGGAAACAGCTTTTTAGATTCGTCTACTTTGATCTGTGCTACTTTTTTCAGATTCTGCCTCATCGTTCACTTGTTATTCAAGTCACATAGATGAAGAACACTGAGAGAGAGAGAGAGAGAGACGTCTGCAGAGGAGTATAGTGAACCTTTTTTGTTTTGTAAACCGAATTTTTCTATCTATCTCCTTGAATACGTAAGGGAAGAGAAAGAGAGATCAAGTCGTAGACGAGAGAAAGACGTTTTCTGGGTATAGTTGTAAAGTTCGATCAGAGTATGAAAATAGAGCGAGAGAGACGTTAGCATACTATTCTTTGGAAGAGGAGAAAGGGAAAAGTAGAGGAGAGAGAAGAGAGCGACATGTTTCTTTGGTATTGTATAGGAGAGAGAGGAACGATCATACGTACTACTAAGTCTTGCGATGTCTTTGAGAGAGGAATGAGGAGACGTGTGGGAGAACGAGAAAGAGACTTTGGCCAAACCCATCATTCATCTTTAGGTTTATATACGTTGCTTGCATCATAAGATTCCTTTTCCTTAAATCATGTTTTGGTAAACAAAAAAAAAAACTAAAATACTCATTAATACATATACTCGTCTTAGTTGAAACCATCTTATCAGTGACATATTCAACTTCCTTAAAAGGAATTTATGTCTTAATCAGCATGAAAAGTGAAAGTGTTTTCGAGTTAATTCAAAGTGATTTGGAAACAATATGTTTTCTCTGTTAATTTATGTTGTATAATGGTTTTCATAATTCAATGTATTCTTTGTTACTGGCGTGCTGTTGTTGCTGGAGTCTTATTAATCTGATCAGGTCCAGCTAGCTATTTCTGATCTTTGATTTAGTTTTATTAGACTAACAACTTTTTTTAGGTTGAACCAGACAAAATTATTGAAATAAAATTTTTAGTGAAAGACTGCATGACCCAAGACTAGTTTTATGGTTCAAACTAAAAAAATTCCAAAAGGAGAATAGGTTGTCATATCACAAGGCCATCGAAACATAACAATTTGTTTATATGGATTTATTACTATAAATTATAGATTCAAATATAAATGATGAGACCAATCTCTCTTCTCATAGTCATAGGGATGACTAATTTAGAGAATAAAGAAATTCAAATAATTGGATTGGACATTATAATACCATTAAAAGCCGCGGAGAATGTCATGGCAAAAGGAAGAAACGATCAAATAGCTCAATGGAGGCGTTCTTAACGGTCAAATACATACAACAACATGTCGTCTTCCAATACCAATTTTTATGTTTTTGCTATGAGCTACCTTCTGTTGCCACCAATCTTTGATATAATTCTTGTTACGGAAAAATATAATCTTAATGAGTTTATATAAGGATGATAATCAATAACAAAAGTCCAACGAGTTATATCCAAACAAAAAATAAGTTGGTGGGCGAAAAGATATATTCAAAATAAAATTTTCATGAAGAAAAAGTTGGTGGTCGAAAATGCTAGAAAGATATTATCGTATAATCTAAATTCATGTATAGTTGAAGTTAAATAGACATTTCTAACGTCAATATAAAGTATTGGGAACCACTTTAGACCAAGTTCGAAGAGGGTTTGATACTACTACTAAGAAAATAGCAAGAGGGTTTACATAGATAACACGTCATATACATTATTCACTACTTATGTATATGTATAACTAATGATGGTGATGATAATGCCAGTATTTTACCAAAGTTTTTTGCCTCGTGTAATTTTTTAGGTCATGTAGAATTATGAAATATATTTAGGAGATATAGAATATGATTCGATGAAACGAACTGCAATATACTAATAAAGTACGCAAAGAGGATCATCGGAGATCGCGACTTGGCTTTATAGGGATTGTGAATTTATCCATATCCACTTTAAGACGATCGTGATTCATGAGTAAGTCATACTAATCCATTCATATGATCAGAAATAGTCTTCTTTAACTATGTGTTTTCTTAATTTGTTGAATTTTCTACTCTACGAAACAAAACAACTTTTTTTATCTTCTAATAATTTACAATCTTTAATATAAAGAAAGAAGAGAGGTCCTCATGGGTATCGATAGAGCAAAAAAAAAAACAAAATAGAGTGCATAAGTTTAATACGCGTATTACACACTTGTCACAATCATTTGCTTACATGTGTTAGTTCATATGTCAATTTTTGAGTTTGCTGTTACATATTAAAAATCTGGTTACTTAAATAGCACATAATTATGGTACCTTTTATATGGTAGAGTTCATATGAGACAAAACTTGAATTCTCAGGGTTAGTTTAAGAAAGTTCATAAAAGTCAGATCATTATTGTGTAATAACCTTGTGATTGTGAGAGCATCGAGATTAATTAATGCACTTCAATTAGGGTTGACATGAGTGTTTGTGTGTTTAACTGGTAAATCTGGTACTTACTTGCCTGGTTATGTTCAAATGTTTGTTTCCGATATTGGATAATATTGTAGAAGCTGTATGTCATATATCATGGTGTACTGTGTTTGGTGTGGTCTTGTGTGTATGTGTGTGACGCATGGACACAATGCAAAATAATCAATCATTTAGCGAATGGCAGACCCAAAAAAAAACAACCCTGGGCTTTAAGATGTTGTTGGGCCGGGTTTGGTTTAAAGCCTATTTATTATTATCTTCTTATTGCATCTAGTCTGCGCCGTCATATCAGCCGTTGGATCATTTTAGACACGTGGACGGTGGATATAATTTCCGAGTTCGGTAACATCCCATTTTTCTAATATTCGGGAAAGAAGAGAACAAATCGTTGAAGAAGAAGTAATTGCTCAAGGCGCGACGAGGAAGAAGAAGAAGAAGAAGACGACGAAGAAAGTGGCAATCTTTCGTAATTATAGTGGAAATCGGAGTCCAATTAGTCAAAAGGGGTTTAAGGGTTTTGTTCTGACTTCTGAGAGAGAGAGAGAAGAGAAGCAATGAGTGACGCGTTTTGTTCGGACTGTAAGAGGCATACGGAGGTTGTGTTTGACCATTCAGCCGGAGATACAGTTTGTTCTGAGTGTGGTCTCGTGCTCGAATCTCACTCAATCGATGAAACTTCGGAGTGGCGTACCTTTGCTAATGAGTCCGGTGATAATGATCCTGTTCGCGTCGGCGGTCCGACGAATCCTCTTTTAGCTGATGGTGGTCTCACTACTGTCATTTCCAAACCTAATGGTTCCTCCGGCGATTTCCTCTCTTCTTCTCTTGGTCGATGGCAGAATCGTGGATCTAACCCTGACCGTGGGCTTATTGTTGCCTTTAAGACTATCGCCACTATGGCTGATAGGTAGGTTTTTGTGGAATTTAGGTCTTGTTTCCTTGAAGCTCAATTTCAGCAGTTCAGTGTTTTCTTGAAGCCCAATTTCAACTGTTGGAGGTTTTGTTTCTTAATTCCGATTATTTGCTCGTGGTCCGATACTTTGAGAATTTTTAGTATCGAGAAGCTCGATCTAGATGATGAATCTTAGAGTGGGTATATAAGAAAATGTATGTCAAATTATCTTCTTTTAGTTGCCTGGGGAAAGAAAAAGTTAAAAAACTCTTGTTCATTGCAATCCCATTGCTTGGTTTAATGCGTTCTGAAATGTTACTGTGAGGTGTGTTCACTGTAAGTTAGGTTTAATGACAGTTACTAATTTGATGAACCTTTTGTTCTCCAGGTTGGGCCTTGTGGCGACCATTAAGGTACTCTCTTTCTCTCAGGAATCTTGTCTTTTCTGCTTGAAATGCTTTCTCTTTTGTTAAGTTCCTAAATTGGTTTCTTGGATTTAAGTTTGCCAATATTTGTAGAGTTCTATCTGAATTCCTTAGTTATATCTATCTCTACTTTTTGCAATCATGTATGATGTTCCAAACGTTTTTGTCATGGTTGTTGCTCTTCTATTGAAGGATAGAGCCAATGAGATTTATAAAAGGGTAGAAGATCAGAAGTCAAGCAGAGGAAGAAATCAGGATGCTCTTTTGGCTGCCTGTTTATACATTGCTTGCCGGCAAGAAGACAAGCCACGAACTGTCAAGGGTACTAAACATTTTTAGACTCTTTTATATGTCTGTTCTTTGATCATCCACCATTCCCTTTTTCTTAACCCTTGCTGATATTATGTAGAAATATGCTCTGTTGCCAATGGAGCTACTAAGAAGGAGATCGGTCGTGCAAAAGAATACATTGTCAAACAGTTGGGCCTCGAAACAGGTCAATCGGTTGAAATGGGTACTATACATGCCGGAGATTTTATGGTGAGTTCTTAAATTACTGCTTCTTGGTTCACATTCACATATCCACGGTTTTCATCAACTCGATTAGTAAATTTCCAGAGACGTTTTTGCTCCAATCTCGGTATGACCAACCAAACCGTGAAAGCTGCTCAAGAATCTGTGCAGAAGTCAGAGGAATTTGATATAAGGTTACACCATTATCCATTGCTGTCTTATAGCTTATGTTTTCTGGATATATTGCTTCACACAGGAACTTTTAACCTGTTGCAGGAGGAGTCCCATATCGATTGCAGCCGCAGTTATATACATCATAACACAGCTCTCAGACGAGAAGAAGCCTCTCCGAGGTCTGTTCCATTCACATTTTTTGATCTGAAACAAGTTAACATCACAGAAACTATCTGATATTTAGAACCTGCAGATATATCAGTGGCAACTGGAGTCGCGGAAGGAACTATAAGAAACTCTTACAAAGATCTTTACCCTCACCTTTCCAAAATCATACCAGCTTGGTATGCTAAAGAAGAAGATCTCAAGAACCTTCAAAGCCCTTGAGAGTCTTCGTCTCCCTTAGTCAGCTGCCACGTCTTGGAGTTACAGTAGATTTGTATCAAAATGTTTTCATAAGATACCATAAATTGTTGAGTTAATGAGTTGATCTCACCATTTCCAACACCATGCCACTGACATATGAAACGCTGCTAATCAAACCACCGGTGCAAGGATTAATGTTTGTTTACTTCTTAACAAAGGACACAGACGGGGGAAAAAAAAGAATACAGACGAACGCAAAGGTTAAACAGTTAACTCTGTATTTACAATGTATGTGAGTATAAGACCATTTTAAACAGTTATACTAATAACCAAAGATCTCCCTTCTATATATATCCCATCCATCAATGTGGGATATTTGAATATTAAAAAAATTTGAGGTTTCCTTTCATAGTCATTTGACTTCTTAAGTCTACAAAGAAAAAAACGTAAATTATTTTTTTAACAAACGTGCAGTGTCAAATTTACATTTGGATTTAACACACAACCAAAGTAAGTACAAATATAAGAAAGTGAAATCAACCACATCGACATAAAAAGTACATCTATTCTTTAATTCAATTATTTCAAGAAGAATATAAAGAAGAAGAATTCAAAGTTACATGTGATGTCGGGGAATACGTACATGATCTTGTTTTGGAAGCTGCATAAATGGCAAATGCCATAGGAACTCTTCGTTTTAAACATGCCAATTTTAACTTGTACGTATTAATCTAGTATATACACTCAATCATCGATCGTATTATTTAACACACGTTTATCATCAAGGGATTATCAAAATAAATATCCTTCTGTAAGAGATAATTAATTCTATTGAGTAAATATCCTTCTGTAATGTATATTGAAACCTCTAAAACAGTTTACAGTCAGGTTATGTAGAAGACTTTGTTAGATATTCGAGAGGGTTTGATTTTATCTTTTGCATTAATTTGTCGTTTAAGAGATAGATGTACACACACACACACACACTAATATATAATAATAATTACACAAACCCTACCATAAGATATTGTTGGTGAATGGTGAGAGAGGAATGTATGTATATGAGTACGACAATGGTTGGTGAAGAGGAGGAGCGGAAAAGACTTAAACCCAAATCTTACCAACCCTATCCCATTTTCTTAATTCTTTTTATTTTCCTTGCAATCAATCTAAAAGTGTTTGGTAAGTTTTTCTCTATCCGACCATAAAAGAGATTTTATACGTACTACTTAACGTCCATTCCCATAAAACTATTTGTTTATAATTTCTCTATAATACTACTGAATAGAGTACATCGTTCTTTGTTCTTCCGCTAACTTTCCGGATGGTCTTTGTAGTTTTCAAAGTTGTCCCCATATTTTGGTTTCGGAATTTTTGTGTGTTTTTATTATTCTATATGCAATAAGCTCTCAGTATATATACCCTGTTTTTCATTTTTTTTTTTTTTTTTTTTAAAAGGTTAAATGAAAAAAGTTAATTATTTGATTAACCAGTCCAGAAAAATCGGAAAAAAATCAATATGATCGACCTGTGTTACGCTATAACAAACCCACCATGCAAAGTGTAAATGAGAGTATTAAGCATTTTTTCGGGTGCATGAGACCGACCGTTCGATGGAAATAGTGGTCGTGTGTATTCAACAATGGTCTGATCGAATGAGTTGTAGGCCAAAACAACAAAAATACCTACCTGGTAATAAATTACATTCAATCAGAATATATATACAATCTGGATAAGATTTGACATATTATTTGGAGCTATTTAATAGTGAGATTACTATCTTTTTTGGAAAACAGCATGCATGTCAGAACCATTGCATGCAAGAAACTTATTCAGGACTATACAAATTTGGATTTTGTGGTGTTTGCTAACACAAGACCGAACAAACATCATGTCCCTATCTCTGGCATTTACCTGACGCTCGAGCTCGACAAGTCAAGAAGGCTCATATATAACATGGAAGCCACGTGGTCATTATACGTCCGTCCAGATCGCACTTTACATCCGACGGTTCTAGACACATTTCAACTAACCCGACTCGTTGTAATTCTCACCAACTCTTTTGCCCTCTCTATTTAAAACCTCCCATGTCGCTCACCTCTCTCTCAGGAAATTTTATTCACAAAATCGAATCATTATTTTCCTTTTTTATTTCTCGCTCCTTTAATTTTTTTTTTTATATTAATCATCGCAAACAAAAAAAGTTCTTGTAAAGCTAGCGCAACGTGTAACTTGATTCATACACACATTTGTATTTCTTTGTTTTGTATAATAAGTATATAACAATTACTACATAGAGAAAAGAGATCAAAACCATCGACCTTATATATATTGTCATTATATATAACCGGCCGGTCGGATCCCCGTTTTCTTTAAACCTAGTCGGCGGTCATGGAGCTTTGCAACCAAAACAACGGCGTCAGCGGCGATCCGTTAAACTGGAACGCGGCGGCGGATGCTTTGAAAGGGAGCCACTTGGAGGAGGTGAAACGAATGGTGGAAGATTACAGGAAAGGGTTGGTGAAGTTAGGAGGAGAGACGTTGACGATTGGTCAAGTTGCCGCCGTGGCTAGAGGAGGAGGAGGATCTACGGTGGAGCTAGCGGAGGAGGCACGTGCCGGAGTCAAGGCGAGTAGCGAGTGGGTGATGGAGAGCATGAACCGAGGAACGGACAGTTACGGAGTCACCACTGGGTTTGGTGCAACTTCCCATAGAAGAACCAAACAAGGCGGTGCTCTTCAAAATGAGCTTATTAGGTAAGTCTTTTTCTTATCGATACCATATATGGTAACTACAAATTTTTTACTATTTTTTCTCTCTTCTGTTATGTATCAAGATTAAATGTGTTGAACAATTCTTATATCTAAGACTGGCTATATAGTGAACAATTTTAAGAATAGGTAACTAATATTAGGAATTTGACAATAATGATAATTACTTATGTTTTTTCGATAATTGAAATTAAAATGCTTTTTTATTTATTATATATATATTAGCTAGTGAATACATTTTAAAATAAGAGAAAGGAAGATTTGATTCGGGTGTAAATATTGTGGGACAAGTTAATAGTATGTTCTTGGTGATCTCTCTTTTGCCTAACATATTTCTTAATTTTCGGCAATTCTTTTAGTTGACTTCACACACTTATTTTTGGTACATGGTTTTACCTAATATTTAGGTGAATAATTTTGTTTTGGCAGTACTAAACTACTAATTAGCTGATTAAGTTGGTATTTGGCAATCATAATTAGGTGAAATTAAGTACACTTAACAGTCGTTTACGCTATGAATTACATGCCCTTCCTTTCATACACCAAACTTTAATTTATCATATTTTTAAACTAAGATAAGATAAAATTTGGTCCATTTTCAACAATTATTATTCATTTGCTAATATGCAACTAATGACTCGAGCAGGTTCTTAAACGCCGGAATATTTGGCACCGGCGCCGGAGACACGTCACACACGCTGCCTAAACCGACAACGAGAGCGGCAATGCTCGTCCGTGTCAACACTCTTCTCCAAGGCTACTCTGGGATACGCTTCGAGATTCTCGAAGCCATTACAAAGCTTCTCAACCACGAAATCACTCCGTGCCTCCCTCTCCGTGGCACCATAACCGCTTCCGGCGACCTTGTCCCACTGTCTTACATAGCTGGACTCCTCACCGGCCGTCCTAACTCCAAAGCCGTGGGTCCTTCCGGTGAGATTCTCTCTGCCTCTGACGCCTTTAAGCTCGCCGGAGTATCGACCTTCTTCGAGCTGCAGCCTAAGGAAGGACTTGCGCTTGTGAACGGGACAGCGGTTGGATCGGGTTTGGCCTCAACGGTTCTGTTCGAGGCAAATATTTTGGCGGTTTTGTCCGAAGTTATGTCCGCCATGTTTGCTGAGGTTATGCAGGGGAAACCGGAGTTCACCGATCACCTTACCCATAAACTGAAGCACCACCCTGGTCAGATAGAAGCCGCAGCAATTATGGAACATATATTATACGGAAGCTCTTACGTTAAGGAAGCTCAACTTCTTCACGAAATGGATCCTCTTCAAAAACCTAAACAAGATCGGTAACGTTTCTTGCTTTTCAAGTTAACTTACATTGTGTCTTGAAGTTGTTTGGTTTTGTGAGTGTGGCCTGAGTGGCGTTCTCTTTTAAGTTGCAGGTATGCATTACGTACGTCACCGCAATGGCTTGGGCCTCAGATCGAAGTGATTAGAGCGGCAACAAAAATGATTGAGCGAGAGATCAACTCAGTTAATGATAACCCTTTGATCGATGTTTCAAGGAACAAAGCTTTGCACGGTGGGAATTTCCAAGGGACACCGATTGGTGTCGCCATGGATAATTCTCGTCTAGCCATTGCTTCGATCGGGAAACTCATGTTTGCGCAGTTCTCTGAACTTGTTAACGATTTCTACAATAACGGTTTGCCTTCTAATCTATCCGGTGGAAGAAACCCTAGTCTTGATTACGGTTTCAAAGGCGCTGAAATAGCCATGGCTTCTTATTGCTCTGAGCTCCAGTTCTTGGCTAATCCCGTGACCAACCATGTCCAAAGCGCGGAGCAGCATAACCAAGATGTTAATTCCCTCGGATTGATCTCGAGCCGTAAAACCGCGGAAGCAGTCGATATCCTCAAGCTAATGTCCACGACTTACTTAGTCGCGCTTTGCCAAGCAGTTGATCTAAGACACCTAGAAGAGAATCTGAAGAAAGCGATTAAATCCGCGGTGAGCCAGGTGGCGAAGCGGGTCTTGACCGTTGGTGTAAACGGTGAGCTACATCCGTCGAGGTTCACTGAACGTGATGTCCTCCAAGTGGTTGACGGAGAGTACGTGTTCTCCTACGCAGACGATCCATGTAGCATCACTTATCCCCTGATGCAGAAACTTAGACACATTCTTGTAGACCACGCTTTGGCGGATCCAGAACGCGAAGCCAATTCCGCGACATCAGTTTTCCAAAAGATCGGAACCTTCGAGTCGGAGCTGAAACTGCTTCTCCCAAAAGAAGTGGAACGTGTCCGGGTTGAGTACGAGGAAGGATTATCGGCTATAGCTAACCGGATTAAAGAGTGTAGGTCTTATCCGCTGTACCGGTTCGTCAGAGATGAGCTGGAGACAGAGTTGCTTACCGGAGAGAATGTTAGGTCACCGGGAGAGATGTTTGATAAAGTGTTCTCGGCGATGTCTGATGGAAAACTTATTGATCCTTTGTTGGAATGTCTCAAGGAGTGGAACGGAGCTCCGATCCCCATCTATTAAAACAGATGATGATCCATCCAACATTTCTTACCAACACTGTTGTAATATATTTGGATTTGTGTTCTATAACCCTTTTTTATTTTTCTTGATTTCCACGACATTGAACATTCTCATGATCACTTTGAAACCTATCATATGTTTCTTTATAGTTTATATATGTTAAATGCTGTCTTAATGGATTATCAATCTGATCTACTTAGGGATTACAAAGAAGACTTGATAATTGCCTATCTCCCATGTGATCTTCTTATCTTATGGAGCTAGTATACATACAGATATGTTTATCTTATGCTGACTACCAAAAAAAAAAAAAGGTAAAAAAGACCAATTTTGGGACTTTTAATTAATTAAATGAAGTGTTTTATTGGCTGCAAAAAGAACACGATAAATAGTTTTCTGGGCACCGCTTCTTCGTTTTAGCGTTCTTTTTTGGTTCGACAAGTGAAGAAAAAAAAAGAGAAAGCAATAAGAAAAATGGCAACTCTGTCTTCATCTCGATTGTATTCTTCTTCTCCTCTTTGCAAATCTCGATTCTCACCAACAACTCTCGTATCGGGGATTGATTTTATCTCTTTCTCCCCTCGAGCAACTCTCTCCTCCTCATCCCTTGTCTCGCCGGCGATTTTTTCTCTCTCCGTTAAACATAGTCGCCGGAGAAGCTCGCTCCAAGGTTTGAATTTTACAACTTTCCCCTTTTTCCTGATTTGAATACATGGAATTATGTATTCTCCAAGGATTGATTTTGATTATGAATTTTGGTTTCAGTGAAATCAGTAGCTAGCCCAACGGAGACAGTGTCGGAATTTGATGAGATGGTCTCCGGCACGAAACGAAAGTATTACATGCTCGGTGGGAAAGGAGGAGTGGGCAAAACTAGTTGTGCTGCTTCTTTAGCTGTGAGATTTGCCAACAATGGACACCCAACTCTTGTTGTATCCACAGATCCAGCACATTCCTTGAGTGATTCTTTTGCTCAGGTAAGCGAGGAATACTTTTGTCTGTCTTTGTTTGATGAAGATATACATGATCGGTATCTCTGTTGATTTTGTAGGACTTGACTGGAGGAATGCTTGTACCCGTAGAAGGGCCTGAAGCTCCTTTATTTGCTCTAGAAGTATGTGTTTTGAGTTATCTTTGGGGCATTGTTGCTTTCTGTGCTGATGATCCTACACTCAAATTGAGTTTTAATTTATAGCTCTGCAACAGATAAACCCTGAGAAGGCCAGGGAAGAGTTTCGTACTGCCTCCCAGATGAATGGAGGAACTGGGGTCAAAGATTTTATGGATGGTATGGGACTTGGGATGCTTGTAGAACAGGTATCTTTTTAACGTTCTGTGTACTTTCTGGTGGCTGTTGTTGCTACAACGTGGTTTAAATGCTCTTAATGGCTAATCAATGTATTCCTCTGTGGTAGTCATGTGCGCTTCATTGTTTCTGATACTTAATATAGGTGTCTCAAATGAATGTGATTGCCTCTTACTGTTCTGCTTAGGATACTACTGACTCTGGTGTTTTGTTTGATGAAGTTGGGAGAGCTTAAACTTGGAGAATTGCTCGACACACCGCCTCCTGGATTGGATGAAGCCATTGCCATTTCTAAGGTAATTTTTTGCAATTCTATCTGAGCCTTTCATCTTTATATGTCGTGTTTGGCATATTTTTCTTGTCTCTTCCTGATTGTCTAGAGTATTCACAGGTCATTCAGTTTTTGGAATCACCTGAGTATAACATGTTCACCAGAATTGTCTTCGATACTGCACCAACGGTGAGCAAGCTTGACTGAAATCTTCCTTCCTCTCTAGTGTAAAATATTTAAGACAGTTTATTGCTACTTACAGGGTCATACGCTAAGGCTACTCTCTTTACCTGATTTCTTGGATGCATCCATTGGTAAAATCTTGAAGGTGGGAAACCAATTCCTCTGAACTCTTAGGTTTAGTCTGTTTGCCAAACTGTCAAACTCTTTCTCTGACTTCGTCTTCTTAAATACATTTTCTGCATCTTCAGCTTAGACAAAAAATAACCTCGGCTACTTCAGCGATCAAATCAGTCTTTGGGAAAGAAGAAAACAAAGCTGATGCTGTAAGTCTTTGTACATATTGGCTGATATAGTATTCCTGTTTTTTATTCATTAAAAATTTCTTTATGGATGTGACAGGCCGACAAATTGGAACGACTAAGAGAAAGGATGGTTAAAGTTCGTGAGCTTTTCCGTGACACAGAGTCAACAGAATTTGTCATAGTGACTATCCCAACGGTAATGTCTACACATGCATCTCCTTAGATTTCCTCCTATCTTCAAGAATAAAATACATTGGTATGAAGTTAGCATTTCACTGCTCTTACTGTTTGTTTATGTCCTAAAGGTAATGGCGGTCAGCGAGTCTTCTAGGTTAAGTGCTTCCTTGAAGAAGGAAAGTGTTCCCGTCAAAAGACTCGTTGTTAATCAGATTCTCCCACCTTCCTCCTCAGACTGCAAATTTTGCTCAATTAAGAGAAAGGTATACCCACAAACACAAACTTCTCATGAACTAATGGTTTCTTTAAACCAAAGATCGGTCTTGCCTACTGTTCAAACCACGAACTGCTACTGTTCTTGTGCTTGTTCTGTGGTTTCAAAGAATCACACAGCTAAAAAACGTGGAAAATGATCTTGCAGGATCAAATGCGTGCTCTTGATATGATCCGGGAGGATTCAGAACTCTCTGCTTTGACACTGATGGAGGCTCCGCTGGTAGATATGGAGATCAGAGGTGTCCCTGCCCTGCGCTTCTTGGGGGATATCATTTGGAAATAAGATCATTACACAATATCAACACAAGGATGAAGAAGCAGGTTCACTTCACTTGTATGAGATAGTGTTGGTTAAGAGATTACATAGTTTTCGTACAGATGTTGAAATCGTCTTTGATGGGTTTGGTCTTAATTAGACTCGTGAACGAAAAGAAAATAGAGAAATTATTCTAAAGATTTTTTTTTTTTTTTTACTTCTGTATACTATCTTATGTTCTCAAACTGTTGAGCCAAGACGGTATCTACAACATCTTGGTCACTTGGTGGGTGTAAAACGTTCAATTTACAACTTTAGTGCTTTGAAACAAAAAAAATATTGCAATTCTTGGGGAGCAAAGCCGCAAGATATTTACATTGTAATGGTGAAGAGTAATGCCTAAAATAAGCCATTGCTTTACATAATAAAACAGCAAGGCTTCACCTTTTACACAACCAAAAGGAGATTTTTTAATTTAAGCCAGTGAGATCCAAAATACATTTATTTCCTGACTTAAATCTAAAACCCTCTATTTTATTTACAAATTATTTGCAAAATATATATAACAGGATCCATCTTGAGATGCTTTGCTTAGTTAGGCTGTACAAATAGCTCTCGGTCATCAGCTTGTACCTCTTTCTCTGGTCGTGTTGTAAATTAAGAAGCTTGAGGTTTTTACTTATTCAGAGATGGTTAAGGAGTAGCGTTTGTTGTTAGAGATGCCGAGAGCCCGATTCTTCTCTCTGCAGAAAAAAAAAGAAGAGTGATTCATGATCAGGATCATGACCTGTGGTTTTGGACGAGAGAAGAAATGTTTACCTCCAGTAGTGATAAGCTTCTCAACCCGGGCAACGATGTGTTTCCCATACGTGTATCTCTTCAAGGCATTCAAGTGTACTTTGATGCGAGAAAGAATGAGTGCAAGACTTTGATCATCGCATGTTTCAAGAACCTTCTGCACTACGTAGTTCCCAAATGGGTCCTTCATCATCGCCTGCAAGTTGTTCCAAGTTTAGTGGGACTATTTCGAGACATTGCACAAAGACACGAGGGAGTTAGATTGCAGACCTGAAGAGGCTCGTTTTCATCAGTATAACCAAGCATCTCATTCACTAGAACCTGACGCTCCTCTGGACCGCCAAATGTTAAGCACTTTTCAACAACATTAGAAGCAAACTTTTGCTGACTCATCTTCACAATCTGTCCAGCAAGCTTATTGATGATTTCTGACCGTTCATGAGGTTTGCCGTGTTGTATGATATGCTACAGCCAGAAACAAGTCTTATCTTTATCAGTTTGTCCAGTTTTCATGAAGCAAAAACGTATCAAGCTTCGGAGTCGTACCTGAATAACATAATTTCCATACTGATCTTGTGCTAGAGTACAGACTGAATCCATGATTTCCTCCATAATGATCCGTTGGGTTTCTATGTCATCAATATGCTCCAATACCCTCTGATGCGATTCGAAAGAAGTGGATTACAGGTATCATTAGTGGACAAAAAAATAACTGGAACTTAGATCCTATGATAAAGAAACTATAAGGTGAGATGTATTATATCAAACCTGAATTACACGGCATCCATAAGGGTGCGTTGAAAGGGCTAAAACTTTTCCATAAAATGAGGAAATTATGAACTGTATCCAATCCTGAGGAAGACGCTCTATACACTTCTGGATGACATGATTACCATTCTGGTCATGAACGCATTTCATGACAGACCCATCAAGCTCTTGCACCATTCGAGCTTGCTGCTCCAATTCAACCACCTCTAACGCCTGTATCCATATCGCAGAAACAAGATAACACATTATCAACACGCTCAGAAAAGTCAAACACCTATGTCTGTAGAATCATAACCACAAAATAATAGAAATAGGATAAAAAAAAATGTGTTTAAATTGAGTACCTTTTGGATAACCCTGCAGCCATACATTTGTAGCGAGAGAGCCAAAACGTGGCCCGTAACTTGTTCAGCGAGTTCTTTTCTCTGCCTGTTTGTACCATGCTCAAAAAACTAAAGCAAAACCAGAACAACATATGAGTAAATTGACAAATCTAGCGATGTCCATTGAAATGATTTATAAGCTACAGCTCGTACCTTTTGAATGACATAATTTCCAAAAACATCTGTCATTAAAATCCGGCCATAAGGAAGTATCTCAGGGAATATTGCATTCTTTTCTTCATCAGTTGCAGTCTCAAGTTTTTGCTGAATGAAACGACTTCCATACTGATCCATGCTGCAAGTGGTGTGGAATCCAAACAAAAGTGAACTAGTAACCTTGAATGATGTATATTAGATAAGGTAAGGTAAATACCTGAACTCAATCACATGACCAACTATTTCTGAAAGTTCCAAAGACCTTGCCTTGTTGTTCTTAAGCCCCTCTAGTAAGGATGTTTCTACCGTG